ACACATATCATCAAATATTAAGCGGTTTGAAACCACCTGCAGACATGATGCTAGCTGTCTGCGAAGTGAACTAGGCATTGAGCACGACTCTGTCCCACTCGTGCCACGTCTTGCCACAAAGCCCCCGCATTCAAACCGAAGCTTCTGCTGGCAGGCATGCAAACCAGGTGTCGCATTGGACAATGCCAGGCCCGAAGGAACTTCGACAACTTGGGGGCAGGAACTTGGGGCCAATGGCGGGGTGCAAGTTGAAAGCGATCAGCAAGCCGTCATTGTCTTGAACCCCTAACGCGAAAGCAAGGGCTCCCAATCCAACGGAGCCAGCCCACTCGCCTCGACTTCAACGGTGGACCTGGAGGCAAGGCCAACCACGGGAATTATTCTCTGGGACCCTTTGGTGGGCATCATTCAGGTGCGCTTTTCCAAGGGACACCTAAAGGAAACCAACCCTTTTGAGATGGGTTCTCGTGTGCCAGCGCTGTCAGGTCCAGATGAGTACACTGAAACTGCGCCTTTCTTTAGATGCTCGGATCATGTGTCTTGTTTTTCAGAGTACCCAAGCTTTTGAGTTGAGAAACCAAACGGACACCGAAGCGCATTTTGGTGGTTCCAAGTCCGACTTTGAGACCGTATCGAGCCCCAAAAAAAGCAACTTGGAGACGGCTCCGGCCCGGCGAAAAAAAGGGACATTGAGGAAACCCAAGAGAGTTTCCAAACAAAATGCCCATTAGTAAGTGGCTAGTAAGCCGGGTTATAACCCACTTTGGAGACTTCTCAGCATGGCAAGTGGGTTATAACCTTGGATATTTCCCACTTCCTAAGTACCCCGCCCCTTTAAGTAGGCCTCAACCCCTCTGAACAAATGAAACTCCTGAAGGGTAAACAATGGTGGCACTGTTGTTCTGAGGCTGGTGTTTCCCAGGTGAGATGGGTGCGTCTTTCAACAAGGGACCCGCAAAATGTTAGGCGTCCTGTTGGTTTCCATTTGAAGCCACCCCAAAAAAGGTACCCTAAAATTCTGGCGAAAACCTGTCCGAACCCTAGCCAAACACTCTTCCGCGGAGCCAACCCGCATGACTGTCCGGCTGACGCCCAGCTCAAATCAGAATCGGTGTGGCAGGTCGGTGTTTTTAGGAAAATCGGAAGGGGGGGCAACCCGCATGACTGCCCGGTCACGCCCAGGGGCCCCACCCAGATCCCCAGCAGGATGGTTCTCCTTTTCGCCTGCCTTTAAACCAACCCCGAAAATCAGGCACGAACCCATGAGTTTCGCCGAAGAGGAGTCCGAACCCATGAGTTTCAATAAAATCAACCGATTTTCGGATTTGTCGGGACCCCCCCCCCAGAAATGAAAAACGCCCAGGGAAAAAATGGGCGCCCAGGAATTCATCATCTATTCAATCTTGTGTTTCATTTCACATTGGCCGCGCAGGAAGCCATTCCACAGCGGTGGCCCTTTTGACACCCCTGGGAACACCTCACAGCGGGGGCATTGGGGGGGTCATTCTCAAGGTTGCTTCCCAGTCTCTTCACCCATTCTTCTCTTCAGAGACCGTCCATTTTTGGAGGAAGACCATGTTCTGAAGAAAAGGACGCCTGTACACAATGGGAACGCTTTGAGTCATACAACTTCGTTCAGTACTTTGTTCCACCCCTATTGCCATGGGCGATCCCCCTAAAGGAGATTCCAGTAGACATCTTGCTTTGTTTTGTTTTTAATTGCGGGTTCCATCTTTCTGAAGGGGTCGGCTGCGTCTGCCTGGCAACTCCAGTCACGCGGGTCAGCCCTCGAGTACCCGGCCTGAACGCCACTCCGCGGACGGTCCGCGTGGGGGAAACGGCCTGCCAAGAGCCGGTGCTGACCACCAGCGCTCCGTGTTGGTTGGGTCCGCAGCAATTGAAAGAATATTCATCAGCAGGGCTGGAATCCACTTCTGTGATACAACAAGGGTCCCCCAAAGACCAACCCCTTTTACAAAGGGGGGCTTCCCTTGTATCACAGAAGTGGGGATAATCGGATAAACCCCTTGATCTCACAACCCTGCTCATCAGTGCTTCCTTTGAGGGGGAACCTAAACATATTGCTGATGTGGAACCACGACATGTGTGTTCCAACCTACACTCGCCAGGTGCGTCGTTGATGTGACCAGCGTGACCACAAAGGCCGGCTCATGTGAAGAACCAGGCACTTCATGTTCAACAAATGTTTACCCTGAAAAAGGCACACACACCATCAATGAATCGTACTCACCATCGACATCTGTCACAATCATCACCAGGGTCTGACCTCTGGCGAAAGCCCAGGGGCCGGCAATGAGGAAGGCAAGGCATCCATCCGAGCGTTGGAAAGCATGAATGTTGACCCCATGTTAGTCAATCAACCTGTCTATTCACAGGGGGCTTCCTTGGCTTTGGGGGATCATCACTGGAGGGGAGCACCCCGCTATTGGTAAACCGCGGTTGGTTAATATGGCGCCTACATGATCTTGCGTACGACGCTGGAGGTCGACAATGACAACAGAGAAGTCCAAGCGCATCGGGTGGCACAAGCGCACCTTCACCGTACTCTACCAGTGCTGCCGCAGTCACGGCTGGCGGAGATGTTGCCGGCTGTTGGTCTCCATCATGAATCATATCCAAGATCGAAGAAGGCGATTTTAGCTTGTGAGGCGGCTCCGGCGAATTCATCCACACACGCTGTCGGTTCCTCGGGTGGTCCTGCGACTGACCCATGCGTCCCATGCCCGCGTCCGTTGCTGCGAATTCCGCGTCACCATGCTGCCTGGAGACAGCGATGCTTTGAGGCCACGTCCATAACCCCCCTCCTGGAACTCATCGCCTTGTGACACCGCATTTCTGTTTTCCTACCAAGCAATACCATGGGAAACTTTCAAACAAAGGACACCTTGGTGTGGGCTGGGACCCGCCGGTGCCCCTAGGGCTCAATCCCCTTGCACAAAGCATGGCCAGGACCGAGCTTGGCGGATTTTACACCCCTCTCCAGGGCAAACCATGGTGGTCATTTTTGGAAACACTACTCCTTAGGTAAATCATGGTGGTCATATCAACCCCTCTGTCTCAATGGTTTGAACCCCAGGGACCCGTAAGATTTAGACGCTCCTTCGGGCCACTGGTGCTTTCTCCTGTGCCCTCGCACCGAGCCATGCGTTGGCGTGGCCTCCGGTCGTGGTGTGAGGCTGCCTCCCAGTCGATCTGTTCGTATGACTTTGACTCAGCCAAAGGACTCAGCCAGATTCACTGTGGGCCAGGGACTTGCCGGTCTGAAGCTTTCCGATCTGTCCGGTCTTCCAAAGGCCCGCTAAAATCAGGTACGCCCGCTAAAAGCAGGTCGCTTTCAAAAGTGTCAGGGAGAGACCTGTTTTGCAACACCTGAAAAAGAACCTTATTTTCGCACCGATGTCAAACCTAGGATGTTGAAGCTTATTAAAACAAGACCTGTCACACGCCATGCCCCACAATTGTTTTGAACAACATGCTAAGTGCCGCAAACAAGGCCGAGGCCGCTGAAAGTGAGGTCGCTCACCGAACATTTCGAAAGGACCCGCTAAAACGAGGTCCCAGAAGACCAAGGTTGTCTGACTGTGAATGCTTGTGGCCCGCCAGCGGTTCGCTTATTACCTGCATGGCGGCGGAGTCCACTCGAATCTTTAGTCAAGAGGCGCACACTTCGGATCTTGGCGCTTTGGGAGGAACCTTCCTCCGTACTTGGGTGTTCGATTCGCCAAGTTAGTAAGTGGAAAACGCCACCTGGGTTATGACCCACTTGCAATGGGGTTAACGCAGTCATTTAACCCTGGTGGCTAACCACTTACAAACTTGGCCGACCCAAGTACATGTTTTTGCCTGCTTCTCAGGGGAAACCAAGAGGAAGCTGTAAATTTTTGAGTCCCCCCCTCACAAAAAGCGGCGCCTATCTCGGGCTTCCAAACCTTGCAATGAGTAGCTTCCCGGCAACTTCCAGGTATCCGCATGGGCGGCCACAAGCTGAATCGCCTCTTTTCGGGTCAGCTCCTTGGACAGGTGGGGCGAACTTCCTATGTCCCTGGCCTTGCTTAGTGAAAACATCTTCATTTTTTGGCCTACTGGGTGTATAATGCGCAATGCCTTTATCACCAAAGGCAGCCGCCGAGTCCAATGCATTTCATTTTCCCCCACGTGGCTTCGCTGATCGCAGGCAAGTTCTGTAGCATCGCCCGCATGGACAGAATGTGGAGGGAATGTGCAAAGGGTATCGGATCGCTTCACTCAAACCGAAGGATATGAGCGTGCATGATGTTTTAGAGGCCCCCCCCCGCCCGCCAAAAAAAGAAGCATGCGGTTGTTCTTTTGGTTTCCTTTTGCAGATGGCAAAAAAGGGGGTACCCTCAAAAACGACACGCTGTGCCGCACAACAAGGGCCCTCGTGCGTGAATTCGACTTGCGACATGCTGAACGGATGGATTCGGATTAAGCCTTGGGGCAAACCGCAAGCTCCCAAGGCCGAAAGCAAGGCGGTGTTTATCGCCCTCTGCTTCGAATTCGCCCTTGCCAGTAGGATCATTGCGTTGGGGGTTGCCAAGTTCTCAGCCCAAAGGAGTGGGAGAAATAAGGTTGACCTTATGGAACCAAAGGACTCAATATGGACCAAATTAGGGAAACCAAAAGGTCGGGCAACTGAGACTTACAATCTTTGGCAGTGGCTGAAACTGGCAGTCATGCAATGCATATCAGGACATATCAGGGCAGTGTGCGCCTGAGCGAATTGACTAAGCGCCGGTGTGGAAAGCCACGCCGCGCTTAAATCCCAGGAACCTTGGCAAGCCAATACTGGCTTGGAAAACAACTTGGAAAGCTGGGAAACCACATGCCCAAAGGTGTCCCCTTTTTTTCGTAAATACATGGCCCGGGTAGATGATAGAGCCACCAGGTAAACCAGGAACCGCCCTCTATTTTTCAAACAAACCCGCCAAGAAGGACACCGAAACCCACCGGCCGCTGTCCTACGCCATCGCCATCCGCTCAGGGGTCTCATCACTCCCCATCTCTCGCTCCCAGCGGATGGGGCGGATCGCCGAGCCGCCGATGGGACCTCCGCGGCATTTCCACTTCCGGAGCGCCAGGCAGACCGAGAGCATCTCCTTGGCTGGAATAAGCGGGACCCCACCCAAACAAACAACAAAAGACAAAAACAACTAGATAGCCAAGTTGCCGCTTCTTTCAGTCACTGTTGCTGGCTTTTGGGGTAAAGTACATGGAAAAAAACAGCAACTGGCGATCCAGGACATGCTTTCGCCTGGGTGGAAAAACCGAGAACCACCTCAGAAAAAGCCATAGGTTCTGCCTGGTTGGAACACCAAATTGGACCCCCAAAACGTGAGAAGAAAAAAAACAGACAAACAACACAAAAAAAAGAGAAAACCAACAAAACCCCCCCAAGAAAAACGGAACAACAAACCCAAGGGGAACCAAAAAAAACAAAAAACACGTAGGGAGGAGCTAGTTGTTCCGGTCCAGGTCTCCAGGTCGAGGTCCACATCCTGCACGGACAACTGCCGGCAGAGCCGGGACGAGAAGCTGGGCTCGAAGACCTGGCAGCGCCCAAACCGCGCGAAGACTTGAGCCGGGGCAACTTGGGATGGGCGCAAGGCCTTCAAAAAAAGGCAAGGACGGAGGTGTTTTGTTGTTTTGTTTTTTGTTTTTGCGGGGGGGGGGGGGAAAAAATGGTAAAAAGGGGGGGCCTGGGGGGAAGAGGGAGGAGTGTTGGGGTTATTGGGTCAAATGTTGTTATCCAATGTTTTAACACCCTTGTTTGATTTCATCCTATATTTTGTTGTAGGGTGTTAGGGGTGGATTTTCTGGGGGCCGACATTTTTTTCATTTGAAAGAGTTAGCCCTTTTAGTAGTTATTATGTTCTGGGGTGTTGGTGGTGTATTTGTTTTGATATATTTGTTGTCAATGAAAGTTTGGTATAAGTTAAAATTATAGTATAATGAAAGGTTATAAAAGTTTACATTGTTTAATCATATTATAATTAAGTAATATGAATAAACTAAATCACTCATGCTTTCCATCCACCTATTCCATCCCACCAGAATTCAATAATTCGCATCTGACCATCTACTAGACTGTCTTCTGTGTTTAGTTTCCGTATCGCTCCCGATAAGATATAGTGATTAATAATCATAGCATTAAACTGTCCATCTCGGTTTAACTTTTTACCACAGTCTTTTATGATGACTTCATCTGTTAGGTTTTCATACATTTCTTTCATGATGTCAAACCTAACAAATGAGTATATTGTCATCAAGTTTAATCCGCTATTATCCCTAAACCTGTTAATAACATCTTTCCAGAATTCTTCGTTTTCATCAACTGATGGCAAAGGGTGTCTTTTGATGAAATCCTTTATTTTGTTCAACTCTTCTTCTAATTCCTTTCTATAACTGTCGTCATTATCATCATCTTCTTCGTCCGATAGCGTCAAGTTTGATAAGTCAGCAATCACTCCGACATTTTCTAAATTCAAGTCCTCTAATCTTATTTCAGTCATATTTTCACTTAATATAATAAGTTAATATTTCTTTTCTTTAAGTAGTTGTTATTTTATGTTAAGGGGTTCGGGTTCTGGTTGATTTTGCTTTAACCATTCCTGATGTGTTCTAGTTTTAATATGTTTGCACATATCTGCCTTTCTTGTAATTGACCCACACTCACATTCAACCTTGATTTTGCCATATTGGCGAACTCTTTCTTTGAAATGCTCTTTATTCCTTTCATAATTTTCTGTTGCTTTCTGTTTTAAGATGTCTTTGTTCCTTTCCCTATATTCAATTCCTGTCTGTCGTTTCTTATCTTTGTTGTTTTCATTCCATTCTCGTGATTTCTCTTTTGCTACATCACTGTTATTCTCATACCATATTTTCTGACCTTCTTTTATTTTCTCTGGGTTTTCTGACCGATACATTGCTGAATATTCCGTTCTAGTTCTTCCTGACAAACACCGATTGACACAATCATTTTGTTGTATATGAAAACCTTCTCTTTTCAATAGTTCTTCTTTACTATCACAAGGGTAGTTTTCAACAAGTTCAATTTTACAGTTTTCCTCACCATACTCATCAAACATTTCCATAACTTTTGTTCCGTACCTTCCAGTCTTTTTACAATGTCTATAATTACATCGTTGCCTTATTAATCTTTGACTCAAGCTTTCACACGTGCTACCAACATAGCATTTATTATAACCAACATCAACAATTTTGTAAATTTTACCATTTTTATAACGATTCTCCATTACAATCTTAAACCATCCATTCTTTATAATTGTTTCTACATAATTTCTAACTAATAATATAATGGCAAGAAGATTAACAAAAGACGAGATTATCAGTAATGTCTATTACAATCTGGATACTGGGTATGGTAGTATTCAAGCAACTCACAAAAAGGCAAAGGAGGAAGACGCAACAATAACATTAGAGGATGTTAAGTCGTTCTTAAAGAAACAACCAAATAAACAAATAAAGAACTACAAAGGGACTAATTCTTTCACGGCTCCTTATAGTAGATGGGAATACCAATGCGACATAATGTATATGACACCACTTGTTAAGGATAAAGACACTCCGTTGTATGCGTTAGTGACCATTGATATTTTCAGTAAATTAGCAGATGTAATACCAATGTTCAATAGAGATGGTGAAAGTGTTGAGAAAGCATTAAGAGCAAGCTTTAAAAAGATGGGTTATCCGATGTCCGTGTATTCTGATGACGACGGAGCGTTTGCAACTAAAAATCAAGTTCAGGATTTCTTCAACAGTGAAGGAATAAACCACATCGTCACGAAGACCCACGCAAATGTGGCCGAGCGTTTTATTAGAACGATGAAAAACAAAATTCACGATAGAGTTAGGTTTAACAACATCAAATGGACCGATGCCCTAACACAAGCATTGAAACAGTATAACAGCACATCTCACTCATCAACAAGGATGACACCGACCGATGCACACAAGGACGACAATGAAATAAATGTAAAGGTCAATCTTAAACTACGAGAAAAAAACAAAAGAAAGTATCCCAAAATAGAGGAGAATGACAAGGTAAAAGTGTTCCAAAAGAAAAGGGGTAATTACACCGACAGAAAGGAGTATAACTCTAAATGGTCTAATAAAATATTCAATATCGATAAAATTGAATATGATATTATGGGTAATAAAACTTACAAAGTAGCAGGAATAAACAAACCGCTTTTGAGACACGAAATTTTGTTAGTTAATGATTAAACGTATTTCTTGGTATCTTCTTTATACTTGACTTGATAGTAATCCAGACTTGATTGTTTAGGTTCTTTTATGATTTTTCATTCAGTTTTTTAACATAAATGTTTCGTTTATTTTTGTATTCGCTACTGTCTCTATCTACTTCTTTTGCTTGATAATTGTTATTGTTATTATATGTAGGTTTAATATTCATGCTCTTTAAGATGTTCAGTATGTTTTCATTTTGCTCCAACACTTTTTCTAATCTTGGAAACAACAACTCCAAACTACTGTCAATGTTCTCTAAATGTTCTTCCATATATATACTAAATTATAAAACTAAACTTTTAAAACTAAATGTTGCAATTATGTTAAATCTACTCTTTAAATACTATTTTTTCATCATTTCACGTATAGTTTCCTGAGTTTCGATATCACCATTTTCCGAAAGTGATGCATCCTTACCCCATTTAAAAGTTATATTATGAACATCTGTTTCTAAGTTGATACTGTCTTTAGTTTTATCAATATTCATTTTCTTATCATTTTTACTCATTTTGAAACTTGTTGGAATACACGAGCATTTACAATTTCCTTTATTTTGTATTTCTAATTCATTCTTCATTTCTAACATCTTTTTACACATCGGACAAGCAAACTCAATAACTGATGTTTCTTTAACAATTTCTTCTTTTTCTTCATCAGTTGAAGAACCACAAGAACTCGTTTTATTCTTTTTGTTTTTCTTTCTTCCCATTTATATTAATATTTACATTTTTATTTTTGATATATTGTATTCCTAACTTAATTAATTCTAATGTATAATAGCATACTTTCTTACATTTACTATCAGTTATTACTACTTGTTCTATATTTTCTACTTTATCTATTATATCAATATAATCTGAATAACTTCTATTCATATAAAATAATAAATATAAAATATTTTCTAAATAACTTTAATATTATTTTATTATGTCTGATGTTCCAATAATAAAACCAATAAATATAACTGATTACGATTTCAAACAATCTAAATATGAACATGTACCAAAACTACCTTTTCGCTCAATTGTTGTTGCTTCATCAACGGGTGGCAAAACAGTTTTAATTCAAAACCTTATCCTAAATGTTTATAGGGACTGCTTCGCCCGTATATTCATTTTTAGCCCGTCGGTTCATAATGACCCTACCTTCGTTGAAGTCAAGAAATATCAAAAAGATAATATGAAGGTTGATGACGAAAAAGAAAAGTTATATTATGACACCTACCAACCTGAAGAACTGGAAGAAATAATTAACACACAAAGAAAGATAATTCATTATATGAAAGAACAGAAGATGAAGAAACTACATTCAATTTTAATCGTGATAGATGACCATGCTGATGATGCTAAGTTTGTGAGATATTCAAAACTACTCCATGGATTAGCAACAAGAGGAAGACATGATGCGATTTCTTTTATTCTCTCAACACAGAAATACAATGTTTTAGCACCAATTATTCGTTTGAATGCGAGTTCGTTATATATATTTAGATTGAAGAATGCTACTGAACTTATGTCTTTCATTGAGGAAAACAGTGCCATTGTTGATAAGCAACAACTGTTAAACATGTATCATACCGCTGTTAATGATGAAGCCTACAGTTTCTTTTTCGTCAATATGAATGCTAAGGACATAAACAAAATGTTCTTCATTCGCTTTGAAAAATCGTTTAAAGTAAAATAAAAAAAATAGTTTTAAAGAATACTTCTTAATACTTGTTAGGACTGTATAATGCCGAGAAAAGAAATAGACTATTCAAATACTCACTTTTATAAAATTGTTTGCAAGGACTTAAACATCAAAGACTGTTATGTAGGTCATACAACCAATTTCAAAAACAGAAAATCTGCTCATAAAACAAGTCATTATAATTCCTTTGGTAAGTCATATAACAACCATGTAAATAATAAATACCTATATAAATTCATTAGAGAAAATGGTGGGTGGGACAACTGGGATATGATACTGATAGAAACCTTAAACTGTGAAAATGAAATGATGGCAAAGAAAAAAGAGCGAGAATATATTGAACAACTAAACGCAACCTTGAACACGGCCAGACCAACACGAACAGAAGATGAAGCAAAAGAATACAAGAAACTATGGACAGAAAGGAACAAAGAACATGTCAAAGAAACAAAGCACGAATGGTATGAACGTATCAAGGATAAATTCAATCAAGAAAGAAGAGAAAAGTATAATGCAAACAAAGAGCGAAAGCAACTTATGACTGAACAAAAAGAAAATTAAATAATTAAAGCCTAATTTATGTTAATAA